CCCTACACCGTAATAGGCCTGTGCCACCATGGGAACTCTAAATCAGCAGAAGCAGCCTGCTGTTCTCAGCATCTTCCTCACCTTTTTGTCCCTGAAGATACAATCTAGGTCTCCTGCACAGCAAGAGAGTCACAAAGAACAAGTGACTGCCTGGGAGAGCAGGCACAAAGAAGAGGTAATAGTGCATTCAAGGGGATTAGACCTATTATTTTTTAAAAGTGGCAACTTTTTGCACACACAGAGAAAAGGTTTCTATGATGATTTAGACTTTTTGACTGTGAATGACTTTCTGTAATTGTTCCAATACATTTCCTTTTTGTCATTAAAAATCAATCCCACACTGAACTCTACTCTTCTTTTTGTCCAAAAGTTTATATAGGCCTAGCTCCTATGTGCTCAGTGTTGAAAAACAGGTAGAATTTCTCACAGGAGGCTCCCTCTCAAGGTAGACACAGGGAATTTCACCCCCCACCCTTTACAATCTCATGTAAATCTAGCCCTCCTGCAAAAGGCTCAGTACTTTCTTCCTGAATGTAGAAAACAGTAAAATACTTAGCAGAATCCACTCTCTGAATCAAATAAAAAGTTTAGTACAAAACTTTATTAATATCAATACTGCAAAACTATAAAAGTGAACATAGAATCTGAGCAGGTTTAAAGCCTGGTTCTACCCATCAACCTCTGGGAGAGCAGCAAAGACAGCTTTGTAAACAAACTAGAAAAAGCAAAACTTTTAACAGCAGTCTTGAGAGTTGGCGCTGAGCAAGAGTGTCTGTAAGAAATGCCTCATTTTTTGCTTTAAAAACACTCCTAGACAACAATCTGAAGCACATAGGCATAGATGGAAAAAAAACGCCTAATGTGTGTCAGAAAAGAGTAGAGCTCTGAAAATAAACTACAGAATAAGGCGGGTCTCAGCTCAGTGCTGCCCTTGCATGCCACAAGGCAGATAAAGAGCTCTGGCATCATACTGCTCTTCATGGGCTAGCTGAATAGCTGCAAGCACCGAATAGGCTAAGTCTGAGGTTTTGACAGAGCCTGTAAAGAGCTTTCCCATGGAAGAGGCTGGTGTTTCGTAGATCACCCAAGCTACCTATCACCTCTGCCCTATGAACCCTCTACCTTTTCAGGACATGAAGCTGGACAGCAAAGACTTTCTCAGGTCAGTTTGACTGAAATGAGCTGGGGACCCTGACACGAGCTGCTCCATAGCACACTGCAGGAGATGGCAACCTCTGACAGAGTGCTGACATGCAGAGATGTGGTAGCATGAATCTCAGCAGAGTCTGATAACATCTCTCCATGGCCTAAAGTCTCCCTAGTGCCTATAAACTGGGTGGTAACCTTGTGTGGAGGAGGAACTGAGTGCCGGCACAGTTCACTAGAAGGGGAAGCAAAGGGAATCAGAGAAGGAAAGTCAGATCCAGAGAGGAAGGACAAAGTAGAAGGTTAATGCCCTGCAAGGCTTATGCTGCCCATTGGTAGCACTGAGTATGTCCTCAATGATCCAGAAAGGATCAAAATACTAAATCAGTTCTCTAGATCCTTCCCTTTTCTCTTCCTTCCCTGTGATTTACTCTTTGTTTTTGCCTCCTCTGCTTCCCAAGACAGTAACTTAGTTTTGAGTTTGCTTGTCCCAGGGTTTGCTTGCCTTTGTCCTCCACGTCGGGATGAGCTCCGGCTTCCGATCCCCTGTTCTGTCATGGCTTTCAAAAGATGTTCTTGTTTCTTGGCCACCATTTCCTCCCGGCTCCAGATCAGAATATTGAAACCTGAGAGGAAAAATTAAACATCCTGCCTCAGAAATTCTATATAAAATAAAATACCATATGTATAATGTACAGTTGCTATGTCAGTTAAGTACCAGAAATTCAAAATGACTAGACTAAATGACTAAACCAACTAAATCTGAGCTCTTTTCTAGGCACAGAGGATGGGAGGTTATTTGGTGCAGGTACCATCTCCACATAGCCATAGAAATTGACATAATTGAGAAACATAATTAATTCCTAATCTCAAATCTATCACAGGTATGAAGCTCATGTCTAAAGCCAGCTCCCTTAATCTCAGACAGCCTAGGAAAGCCTGAGTAATGTTGGCTCTGAAGCCTGCGAAACAAGGCAGGTAACCAGACGGGAGAGGGCTACAGCCTAACTGGATAAAACGTTTTTTTTTTTTTTTTTTTTCCCTATCCTGTTTCTCCCACTGTTACCTGGTCGGCAGATGGCAGCAGCTCCCTCCTCAAGGGAGGCTGCTTTTTTTGTTGTTGTTTTCCTTTGGGCTTCATGCTCTCAGGGATGTTTCAAATGAGACTACTAGCAACCTGTCTTGTAACTGCAAAGGTGGGAGATTGTAAAGAAGCTCTTGATCTGTTTTACAGATGCATGAAATTAGACATTGCCACCAACAGAACTATAAGGAAGATTTGGGAAGCCATCACTAGCAGCTTGCTTTAGCCTAGAGGAACAAGCCTGCCCTTTTCTGGGACTGGAACACACTAGTATTCAGTGCCTCAGCTTCTCTTTACTTACCCATGCCAGACGCCAGCGTGTCTCCCATTGGGTTAAATTTATTGAGCTGCAAATGGAAACACAATGACAGTTTGTAAGAGCATCATTGCTTATATAATAGAGTTACAAGAGCACTGCTTATATAACAGCAAAAAAACAATCTGGAAACTGGAATATTCCCTAAAGAAAATACACAGATGACCATGGAACAGCTCTGCTCATATCAGCAGCTTCAGCCAGCAGCCACAGCTCCACGCTAGTGTGGGTCTGTCACAAGCAAGGAGGGTATTTCCATTCTCTCAGTCCCTAAAAGGTCTCTCTCAACCGCAGTTCAAAACACAACAGTCCTTTCAGCTGCAGTGTCCAACTCACCGAGATTATACCGGATGCATTTGGGTCATGGAGCTGACACACCATCTCTCCAGTGTTCCCATCAAATATATCCACAGTCCGGAGCTCATTCACTGTATAACCTGGGAACTTAGGGTCTGGGTAGCGACCTGCCACGATGAGGTCGTAGCGAGGGTGCCACGTTGCCTACACACAGAACAGAGGGATGGTGAGAGAGAGAGAAGGGGGCCAAGCTCACACTGATGCACATGAGAAACTAAGAGGTGGCAGCATGAAGCTCAGCAGTTCACATATCCCCCCCAGCCTGAGGAACATGAGCATCCTCAGAACAGCGCTCGGGCGGGTGCGCCGCAGCGCCAGCATCCACCCTCCTGCACCCTATCCTAACCAAAAATCAGAGCACATCTTTTACAGCCTGATAATAGCACCAAGTTTGATACCCCTCCCCAGGCTGTACTTGATACCTTGATAGCTGTGAGGTGCTGGAACTGCCGATGTGGATGTGGGATCAGATGCTGCGGCTTGGTCCAGTCTGAAGAGGAGTAAACCCTGATTTCGCTGCGCTGGTCTGTGGTCAGGAGCTTGGCACCATCTGTTGGGCTAAAATAAGCTAGGAAAAGAGGGAAATAAAAAAAAAAATCACAATGCTGTGGCTGACAATAAACATAAAGCCAGCTTAGATACCTTTTAATACATCTTTGATAGGAAACTGAATATGGCTGTGAGTCCCAACAGACTTTACCCCTCAGAGAACTCAGGTCCCTTGTGAATAGCAAGTTGAAACCTCTAATGCTCCATTAGATACAAAGAATCATTTTAAAGTTAAAGAAACAGGCATTGCAAAGTAAAGAACTTGCTCAGTCGAAAGGCAAGTTAGGGGAACAGCTCAAAACAGATCCCTGCAACCTGGACTTCCATGAACAGGTCCAACCAAACATCAAAAGAACAGAGCCAAAAGGATTTTGAGTCCCATATCCCATTTTTGCCAAAGGAACCGCCCCAATAAATGCAGTTTTCTTATCACAGCTGCTGCTGCTGTTTCCACTCAAGCCCCTCAAGGCTTTCATTTTTCTACGGCCCATCTAAAACTGTGCTGCTGCTGCTGCTACCCTATCCCCATCCCTGCCTTTGCCACATATTCCCACCACTTTCCATGCTTTGGCAATAAGCAAACATGCAACTTCATACTTGACTGAAAGCTAACACTGCAACAACAACAAAAGCTGAGCTGAGCAGACTCTCCAAAAGGCTCTTGGTCACCAGCACCAACACAAGGACGACAGCCAGCATGTGGGGCCAGGGCAGTGAATTTCTCTCTTTAGGGTGCAGTTCCGCAGCAACCTAGGCCAAGCTAAGTGGGAGCCACCGCCATTTCATCCTCTTCCCTGTTCCGGGCTACACATACTCGACCCCTCTGCTTTGCATCAGCAGCGCAGCTGCTGTTCTCTCAGGTTTTACCCGATTCAGGTCCTGACCTGGCTTCCCACACACCCCCGAGCACAGGGCAGCGCCTGCGAGGAGCCTGCAGCGCGTGGCTGCGGGTCAGGGCCACCTCCGCGGCAGCCCCACGGCAGCCCGGCCGCACTCCGGAAAAGCCGCAGGGTGGTTAACACAAAGCAACGAGCACGGAGCTACCCAGCGTCAGTCTGTCACCACCCACAAAGACAAGACGTTTAAGTATCCTTCCATCATCACCAGCAGTTCGGAATCACGTACTCGGAAGGTAAGAGAAAGGCGTTGGCAAGCTGTATCGACATTCTCCTAAAGGACTCTGAGGCAAGTCCATAATCAACACCTGTATTTAAAAATGATGTGACACTTGAAGGGTTTGTAACTGGCTGTATTGAGGTTTGCTCCAAAATAGTCCCATCTTTTTAAAAAACACACAGAGACTACGGGAAGAAATAGAAAAAAACCCTCATGCTTTCAGGAAGAAGAGCAAGACAAAACGCCTCAAACAGTGCAGATAGCCTCAAGACAAAAAGGAGAGCAAGAAAAATTCCAGAGTAGGCAGTTCAGCAGCCATCTATCCTATCTCATGGACTCACCTGAATTGACGGCTTTGTCATGAGGAAGCACATGAAGAAAACTTGTTTTGTCTTTGATACTCCTCAGGTCCCAGATTTTGACTGTCTGGTCCACAGAGGCTGTGGCCAACAACCATTCACATCGAGAGTTAAACTCCACATGAGTCACTTTCTTCTTGTGTAATTTCAGCTTCCAGATCTGCAACAGAGGAAACAGAAAATCATGCAGAAAGATAACAGACCAAAGTAAAAAAACATAGAATAATAATCTATTATTGTAAAGCGAAGAGGTCATGCATTTAACAGACAAATAAAAAATACAAGAAGATTTATCTGCTGGAACAAAGAAAGGAGGATGATCTTGGGAACCATTTAGTTACTGGAGGACTCTGATTCACCATTTTATTAGAGCTACAGGACAGGAAAACATGATCCCTGGTTCATGAGGAAAGCATTAGTGCCATTGCACAGCGCAAGACCTCATCTGGAGCCCTGCACACGGCGCCTGTCTCCCACCTGCAGAAAGACTGACAGACTGGAACAGTTACAGAAATAGTCTGCAAAGATAAGGTGAAGAATGAACGGCCTGCTTCATGGAAGAAGACCAAAAGGGCCTTGTAAAGCAAAAATGAAGGCTAAGAGGGGATGTAATTTCCTTCTAGAAATATGACAAAAAATAAACATGAGGGAAGGAGAAATATTTCCACTAACAAGAACCATTGGGTATAACCTTGCCATGAATCAATTTGTACTGGAAGTCACAAGACTATTTCTAATCCAAGGGGTAAGGTTGGTACATCCTCCCTGTTATAGTGGGCAGAACAAAATCAATACAAACCCTAAATATCTTTAGGATGGACTATAATAAATTTATTAAGCGGCTACAGGACTGGGTATTCCAGGAGTTCTTCAGGTCCTGCGTCCCTATTTTTATCTAAATGAGTCAGAATTTAAGATTTCTGACATACATACCTTAATTATCATTTAGTCTTAGAGAGAGTTCCTAGCATGAAGATGGACATCCCTTAACAGTTCAGAGCCTAAGGGTTCACTTGTCATAAATATAGTAACACATTTTTACACATTTTCTCCTCTACTAAGAGAATCAATGCTGGGGAATAAACACACCTTGGTTATGATCCCTGTAGCCTTCAAATGGAGAGCTGTAGTTTCAGGGAACATGAGAAGCAAACACAAAAACTACAAGCACTGAAGTACAGTACTTCTGTCTCTAAGCAGCAGTGGCAAAAAGGAGAAATTCAGAGATAAAGAAAACCATACAGTAGTGTGTCACAATTGCCAGGAAAGGGGAAAGCATGCATCTCCCAAGCGCAGAAAAGACAAAAGACCATCAAAAGACCATTTCAGAAGGAAAAAAAAATACATAGGAAGCAACAAACCTTGAAAGAGCATGAGTTATGTGAGGTACTCGTGACTAATTTACACAGTTTCTCCCCTCACAGCTCCTGGGGTGGCAAGCTCACAGATGTTACCCTTTGAGAGGGGAGGAAAGGTGACTCCATTCTGGCCAGTCAGTGAGCAAGCAGGACCCTGCAGGCCTTCTCAAAAGGCTTCGAGAGAGCTCCGGGCGAGCAGGAACTGCCTGCCCTCTCGTGTCTAATAGCAGCAGTGCAATCTCCATCCCAACTTTCACTTAATTATTGTTGAGTAATTACTTGGAGATCACAGAGGGCAGACCAACAAAGCACTACTTCTAAATGACTCCCATTAGGGCATAGGTTTTTATAATCATGAAGGTTGCTGGCAGAGAGTGCTTACATCTTAAGGTTACCCTATAACCACTCTTCCCCACAGTCAAATGCTCTTAAGGAAGGGGCAGCTCATGACACAGCCCCTAACCACGAACTGTTACCAAACATGAGTATTTCTTGTGAAGAGCTGACATGCAGGAAGCCCCACCACCCAGCAGATTCATCGAGTGCAGGGCAACTTGCTTGTCCTTCCAGAGGAGTCTCAGCTTACAGCAAAACGCCGGCAACCAGAAGCAGAGCGTGACCAGAGCGCACGTGGGCCGCGAGGATCCCGTAGGCGACGCTGCGCGGAGCGGTACCTACCTCTTCCCCAGAGGTGCTGAGCAGGACCACCCTGCCCGCGTTATCGCCCGTCACCACGGCGCGGCAGCTCGCAGACACATCAACGCTGCAGTACCAGCAGCTAGGGGGAAAGACACAGAATCAGTGCTGCCTCCCCAGGCCCTGGGAAGAAGGGGAGCTCTGGATCACATCGGTTCCCTCTCTTGACTAGGGAGACTGCAACAGATTGCAACTGCCACCTCCTGCCTGCGGGGTGGGCCTGCACTTCAGGCAGAGGGCCAAGCTTATCAGGAGAGCTTTCCGTTGATGATGGAATAGGGAACAATTTCCAAGTCATTTGCCAAATGATGTTTCGATGGAGTGTGACATGTTGGGCCAGTGGAACACACGGAGGCTGAAATGTCACCTGGCTTGCACACGGACACACCTTGGGAAAGACCAGAACATCCATGTGATGCTCACAAACGTACAGGAACACCTTTAAAATGAGGTTTTCCACAACACTGTGAAGCAGCAGTAGAGAAAAGACAAAAGCTCTGAACTGGAAAATTGCAACTCTAAAACTGCTCCAGGAAAAAAAAAAAGAATAAAAAAAAAAGAAAAAAAAAAACCAGAGATTTATCCAATACAGACACACATTTTAACCTCTGCTCTACTGGGGAAGTGAGAATTCATTCTGGATCCTTTGGCAACCTGTTGGGAAAGCTTCACTTTTGCAGCAGTGAATTATACTTGAATTTGTGGCCACAGAAATTACCAGGGCAAGCCTGGCACCTCTGGAGAGTGGCCAGGTTAACTCTATAAACTCGTACTCAGGATTTTCTATGGAGCCTGGGCTGCTAGCCTGCACAAAAAGCACAGAATCCTGATCCTGATGAAGGGAAGGAAGTTACTGTGTTCTTCTCTCTATGCTTTATAAAATGAAGCGTGATCAGCGTCTGTAAGACACCAGAGGGTGTCACCAGAAAGTGACACCACATGGTACATGCAGTATGTTTGGCTACTGCAGAAGCCCAAGTGCCCTCTGGCCACGTAGCTCATCACCCACCCTGCAGGTTCCAGGTGGGACCAGGAGCTGGTCTCCAAACTCCTCTACTCGTAACCAACCCTCCCAACCCATACCAAGAGCCTCCTAATGCTGGCAGGGAGCCGATATCAGAGAGCAGAGGAACCATGGCAGCAGTAAGAGCAGGGAGCAGACATTCAGCCTTGCCCTGCTCCCTCCTCACCAAACATTATGGTGCTCATAGCCACAGTCCAGGGCACGGGAGATCACCTGCCCTCAAGGTCTTGCAGACTTAGAGTGCCATTCCCTGATGCCACATAAAACTTCATTGCCTCATAGGGACTGCACTTGATGTCTCCAAGAGAATCTCCTGGCCCTTTCTGGAACATACACAAAGCCAAGAGGCACCAAGGTTACAGTGGAAGAAAGGCTCTCAATCCAACACACATCCCCTGGAACATGCTGCTGGTTTCCCTTGGTACCGTGCCCTAAATTACCGAAGTATGTTTCCTGACTTGAGAAACGTATGAACTGTATTGTTCCCAACCTGTTTCTAATTGCAGCAAATGCCTTCTAAATCTGTAGGTTCAGCCCCACCATTCTGGGCTACAAACCTCACTAACAGCACTGCTTATACTGCTACACAAAAGGGTAAGGTGAAGCTGCAGCCAGGCACCTGACTCAGCCCAAGTTTAGGAGGCCATAAGCAAAGCCAGCACCAGCAGGGCAGAAACCACAGGAACTGTCGAGGCAGCCCTGCACCAAGCTCCTCGCACAGACTCCATGCACCAGTCTGCACATGGCACTCCCGCTGCTGTGTCTGATCTTTCCCAAACATCAGCAGGGGGGATGAGAGCTGTGCAAGGAGAAGTCGCACTGCTAACTGCATGGCACAGGGTCCACATCCCAAGAGTGGCCAGCCCTAGTCGGTCTACTGCCCCAACATGCAGAAGCTTTAGAAAGAGAGACAGAAAAGAAGGATGCTAACTGGGAGTCCCCAAACCCTTTGATGCCCAAGCACATTCCATCCGCTGCTCCCAGAGTGACTGGTTAACAGAGTCTCATTCTAAATACTCGCTTTCAAGAAGCCAGGGGAGATGAAAAGAAGCCCCTCCACAGAGCTTGCCTGTCCTCACAGCAGTGGGAGGAACGTGGCACACTGCTTCAGATTCTACCCTAATCAGCAACAGGCATCACACTGGGATGCAAGACCTTCCTGCCCAACAGTCCAGTCTGCTCATCTGGCCAGTCACCTGAGCACTGCTTGGATTCACCTTTCTGCTCTATGAGAAGGTTGCAGCTGGAGCAGCCAGTCTGGATACTAAGCAGGACACCTGCTACTGGAAATAAGCAGGTGGGGAAAACCAAAAGAGCAAAGAGAAGACTAATCCTGGTTTCTCTAAGTCACCTTTAAGCACTGAATTGAAGTGGCTAAGCTAGAAGCTCAGGTTTCCTCGTGAGTCCACTAGAAGAGCAGTACTCTGAGAGGGTGATTCAGAGCAGGTGACCAGAATTGCCTACAGACATTCATTTCCTCTTCCATTTCTGAGGGAGTCCAGGCTCTTAACTTCGATCACATACCTAAAGTTAGCTGGAATGAATTGAGGTGACACCTTGCACAACTCAAAGTCAGTGGTGATGGTACAAGAGCACTGAGAGGTCTCCGTAAATTGCCCTACAAAACCCACCTTGTCAGCAAGCAGCATTGCTAACAGGTCTAGAGCTTAGGCAGTTCCCAGGATGCAGAGCCATGGGATCTGTGAGAATATACAGCTGAGGAAATCCACTGGCACCCTCCACCTCCCCATGTACAACCAGAAAAAGAAATCAAAGAGTCCCTCCCCTTAAGGAAGCAAAGGTCTCTCCAACCCACCACCCTGCTCCAGGGAAAAATAAGAAGGGAGAGCAAGCCTCCCTGGAAGACAGAGGGTCCCTGAAATGTAGAGGATAAAGGAGATGTGTGAGGAGAAGAGGAAGCCCAGCTCTCACATATTAGAGACAAACACATCTCTCTCTCTCTCTCTTTCTCTCTCTCTCTCTCTCTCTTTGTAACACTCCTGCCAGCAGGACACAGAGGCCCAAAAAATTGTATTTCTTACTCCCAGTCCTCGGTGCTGGTGAAGACCCGGACAGTATTGCCATTAAAATCCTGCAGAGTTGTAGTGCCGGCCACTGACGATGTGTACAGCTGACTAGGGTTAAAAGGGTTAAACTTCATTGCTGTGATGGTCCCTCCAGCTCCCATCTACAAGGAAGGGGATGAACAAAAGAAAAATCCACTGAGTAATGGAAAAGGAGGAAAGTGCTATAACTGCATTCACTCCTTCACACCAACGGTGAAATATCACAGCCCTTCAGAAGGCAAAGACAACAATGTCTTCCCACATGACAGCTGCGCGGGCAGCTGCCCTCCCCAGGCAATGGATTCCTTGGCTGGCAGGCACCACACTATCTCCAAAAAAAAAAAAAAAAAAGGGGGGGGGAAAAATGGCCCTGGAATCTTTGGAGGATAAATCTCCATATGTCTACGATACTTTAGAAAGAGGGCAAAAGTTGCAGAAAATGATCAGGTGATCACTGAATGCAGCAATGAGAGGGCATGCCAGCTACAGAAATCATTCATTCCACTTTAGTGGTTGCTTCAGATGAAGGGACTTAGTTCCCCCCCACTCAGATACTTCTTCCTCTGTCACAGGATGAAAGGTAAGCAGAAAAACATCAAGACCTAAAACAGACAGACCCTCTCTGCATGCTTGTTTCTGGCATCCTTTTAAAAAAGCTGCTTCATTAGCTGCTGAATTACTCTCTCACTGACCAGACACCATGGACTGCTTCATTCTGAGTTCCCTCAACGTGCCTCAGTTCTCCTCGGGGCTGGAACAGCCCAGGTCTCAGGAACAGATGTCCCGGTGCACCTCAGCTCTGCCCTGCAGTCCTTACCCTTACACGCTCCTCACAACAGCTCTCCGTTTTGCTCTGCAGCATTTGGTGGTGCTCTGGTGGTGCCCACACACCCAGGGACTTACCCCTTTAATGAAGCATGTCTTATTAAGCACTTCATAGTCCCAAAGGATGATGTCTCCACCTTTGGAACCGACAGCTACAGTACTGGGGTGTGTCGGATGCCATTCCAGGCAAGTCACTCTCCTGTCAAAGGGACTTGCTGTTCGGAAAAGGCGGTATGAGGTGAGCGAACGTAGAAATGGCAGCTGCAGACACTGTAACAAAAATGGAGAGAATCAGTACATTTGCAGGGATTTCTGCATACTTCTGAATAACAAGTGCCAATGACTTCTAATTGCCACTAGCATTAGTGCATTCACATAAAATGCTAAGCTTCTCTGTGGAATGAAGAGAACATGCTGTCCCAGGGAAAACAGCCTGGACTCAACAAATTCCCATCAGCCGCAGCAGTCAGACAGCAACAGAGAACTGAGGAAAAAAACACCCTTATAACAATGTGCAGGGAACTAAGCCTCTTGGGCTGAGCTAAATAGGTGGGATAATTAATATTAACAAAGAAGGAGAACATGTCTTCTCCCTCCAGAAAAAGGCTGTGGTGGCCATTTATGAATGTACTGTGTATCCAAGAATGTTATCATCCAGAAATATAATATTATGCCCTCCGTCCAAACTCCTTGCACAAGAAAAAGGGAATTAAACCCTTGAAATAGGGAATGAGAAACCATGGTAGGATCATATTGTTATTCAGCTCAGATATGGATATTGCTGGACGGGCTTGGAGGTTTCATTATTGTTTGGATCTTTAAAATAGATAAATCACACAGAAGATAAAATTAGCCCAGGTACTACTTCTTAGCTACGGGTGTTACAGAAAAGTTGCTTTTCCAATGAAAGAAGAAATATGTTGCTGAAAGCCAACAAAACATTACGGGCTTGATGAAATATGTCTCTGAAGAAGACAAAATTAACACCAACACTAACATCATTAGAAAAGTAAAGAAGGTACAAAAACAATCAGACAGCACTCAGATTAATGTGCAAAAGCAGCATGGAGCAGCATCTTAAATGGGAGGGCAGTAACTTAAAATATGACTCGAGGAAGCACAAAATTAACAGAGGACATAATGTTTGGTGATGAGGCCATGTCAATGGAAAGAGAAAACTATCTCAGCACTTGCACTTCAAAGGAAACACAGCTGAAGTTTGCACAAGATTAAGAAACACGAAGGCATGTGAGACTGAGCCACAAGCCGTGTCTGTGCGGAATCCAAAGCCCCTTTCAAGTTCCTTGCTTGTGTTCGAGACGTCTTTTGTAGAAAAATGAGATGTCCAGCAGATCGTGAAGGAGACACTGCTCACCTGCCTGAGCTGTGCCCGGATGGAGCCTCCCAGCATGTTCTGGTAGATGTAATGGACAATGCTGCACTGCCTCTCCAGCTGATGCAAAAGGGCTCTGGTATTTCTGATCATGGACACACCTCTACTGCAACCTGCCAAAAAGACAAGAGTGAAACGTACTGGCAGCCAATGCCTGTCACATGCATTCAATAAGCAACACAAAACCCACCCGCATTTGCTGCTAAATCCAGGGCAAACTCCAGCCACAAGAGAAAAATTTGCAAATGGTTCTTACACATCTGAGGCACAACAGCCCCCACTCTGGAGTCCAGTGCTTCCCATAGCCTGCTAGAGCTCTGCCCAGGCTTCCTCTTGTTGAATCTCTCTTTTCCTCACCAAAGACTTATCACAAACAGAACAGGAGGCAACAAAAGACATATCACAGCGCTGCTTCTCTTGGAGAGTTCACGACCTAAATAGTTCCTACCCAAACACAGTGACGCTAAGTCCCTATGATTTGGGATTGAGCCATGGGAGGGCTGAGCTCCTGCACGCAGCAGAGTTAAGGTCAGGCTTGTGACTAGCAGAACAGCAACACCTGAAAATTCTCCCAGCAGAGCAACGCAGGAGTCCCCATGCAGTTCCTGAAACGCCTGCTTGTGAATCAGAATATTCGATGTGCTCGTGCTGCAGCCCATGCAGCCGGCCTGCCGCACCGCGAGGGTTGTTTGGGATAATAGGCTTGCTGATGCCTCACTGCCTGAAAACCCTTCTGTTCAGGGTGAGTTTTGCTGAGAGCACAGCTTGCTTCATGTTTTGTTCGTGTTCCGAGTTTTATCTTCAGGGGCCGTTGCATGAAAATGGGATCTGTTCAGTCCAATGTCTATAATCTAGTCAGCCCCCTGGCAATGGTCCATAACACTCCAGGGGACAGAGATGTCAAATGGGAAAGAAGCATTTTTTAAGAAACAAAAATCCTGTTTTCATGTAAGGATAATAATAGCAAAAATAGAACCAAAACACATATATCATCTTTTATGACTAGGAAGTGAAGAAAATCTTTCTATAATGCAACATCGTGACCTACAGATGCATTGGTGTGACACTAAACTTCTTTATTCATGCACCAGCATAGCAGGCACTTGTCACACCTGCTGAAATAGGTATAAAAATCTCTATTCTAATTCCTTGTTTCCACAGAAGATTTAGCATGTTAGCATCCTCAGTTCTTTCTTCAGGGATGATGGCTTTTTCACATTTGGTTTTGTTAGGAAGAATAAATTGTTAAGAAACAAACTTTGGGATTTTTCTGAATTGGAGGAACAAATATTTTTGATTGCAAGAAACTTAATCTCTCTTATGTTACTTGGAAGTAGAGGAATAATTTTTTCCAAAGTATATAAAAATCAAAACTGGGACACACAATGGAAAAAGTCAAATGCACACATGTGAAAAACTTCCTGTTTTTAAGAAAGATATAAGGGAAAAATATGCTTAGCCTCATTTTCCTTAAGTACTGGCCACTTCTTACTCCCTCTGAAACTTATGGGAAAAGCAGGTGCTCACCAAATTTAAAAATCAGGCCACGAAGTTATAGTGAAAATCTTGTAGCTAAATTAACTGTAGATGATGTGTTAATTATCTACAATATCTATCTAATTATCTAGAAGCAGAACTCCTTTTAAGGAGAGTATTTTGCTTCCGTTCACTATTCACACTGTCCGCTGATCTGAAGGTTGGAGTTATACACCAGAGAACGGGAACGTGCAATATGGTAGAAGTCCCATATCTCTCAAACAACATCAAAAAAAATCCATAATTTCTAGATTCTTAAAAAATTACTGAAAGTGTGAAACTCACTTCCCTCTCATTACAGAGAAAAAAAAAAGATTAAGAGATGTTTTGCTAAGTTACATGCTAGTAAAAAAAAAACTGCAACTGAGGTGAAGTGATTAGTTGACTTTAGTCTGATAGAAATATCTAATCATAGAGGTAGAAAGGATTTAGCCTTCCCATGTAAGGTAGGGAAGGTCAGAATATCCAAAAAAAAAAAACCCACAGGTGGAAATGCCAGTTTAGACTGTATGCTGCAGGATACAAAGCTTACAATCATGAAGCTCCATTAGGAATCACATGACAAAAACAGCACGTTACGAGAACTAGCAGACACACCGTAATCCAGGAATTCCACAGAACTTAATCATCCTTGGAGGCTGAGCTGCGATGGGCACTTCAGTGAGCAGGCATCTAGCAAGGGCTGGCCACTTTCGAGCCAAAACATGTCCACACATGTACACTCGTTAGACAGACAATTGCATATACAGCAATGTCCTTATATGCACCTGTGTATCACTTAATCCTTAATTCTTAATACAATTCAATCCAAGTACTCATGTTTGAACAGGCTGCAGGCTTGCTGGCATTATCCCCCTTCAGCTAGTCGATGCCTGTCATTTAGGGTAAATCTGCTAGGCAAAAAGAGCAAGAACCTGAGGAAGCGTTACCGATTTTCTCTGGGGGTTTGCACGATTTTCTCACAAACAGCCTCTTTGCTAGTGGCTCATTCTCTATTCCTTCACAGTCTCGTTTCCTTTTCCCAGCTGATCTTGCCTCTTCTGGCGGATGCTCGTGGGTCCTCGCCGGCCTCTTGTCCTTCGGTGGGTTCTCTGGAGCCATGCTGTCTGACCACTAAAAGCAAACAAGGTGGGAAGGTATGACTGTCACACGCTGCTAGCTAGGAGATGGGGAGGAAAGCGGGACCGAGGCATGTCCCTGCGGCCCGGGAGCCGTGATTATACCTGTGCCCTCTTCCGCCAGCGGGACACTGCCTTTTTGTTGTGCTCCGCCAGAGCACTGAGGCCCTGTGGCGGGTTCAATAAACTCTTCTTTGTTCACGTACTAAACGAACGCCTCCGAAGCACCGCAGTCTGTTTTGACAGATGTGCTTCCAGGGCGCTTTTAAGTTTCAAGCCCGCAGAGCTGCATGAGGCCCCTCTGCGAAGCCGCGCAGTGCAAAAGCGGGTCCTGGCGAGGGGAGCTCCGCGCCGGCCTGCGAGGGGACGGCCGGGGCGCATCGCGGGCCCCAGGGGCTCTGCGGACACCGCCGCGGCCCTCAG